ATTCTATCAGAGCTATGCTCATATGTACCGTGATGAAGTACCATGAGTTTGCAATCGGCGTGGTAGCCCTCCAAAATGGCAATACAATTTGATTGTTATAAAGAAGTGCATATATTAAGTATATACCACCATTTTAATTTTGTGTAATGAATAGAGTGATTGCACATAGAAATTTATTATTGTGCAGCTTTCTTTTTGTAGTAATTAGTTGATGTAATTATGGTCCCACTTGCAATCCCGATATTACAAATTTAAGGCACGATTACGGTACGATTGCGCCATGAAAAATGGTAGCTGATTGTCCACTTAATCGTTATGGTTGACAAGAGAGGTTTTCGTGCGTACAAAAGAGAGAGGCTTGATGTTATAGGAAACAAATCTACGTATATTACATCAACAACTTATATCAAATTAATAATCACTTACTCGTCTAAGCAAACATAGCTCCAACAATCGTTCAACGAAGAAGAAAACGAGTGTATTATATTTGATTCTTTCCACGACTTTTCACAAAGGAACTGGATATTACGTAGCATGTTCTATCATCTTCATAAAGTATTGTTTCAAATAAATTTAAGTTGGATGAGAAAGTTAAATCTTGTTGCTTGAATGTGGTTCACAGCGATTCTTGTGAAAAATTCACAAGCACAAAAACTAATCGTTTACTTTTAGCCGGTTTCAACGTGGGCAAAATAGACGCGACAGGATCAGTTTGTGATTACTTTCAGTATCGTCAAAAACACCATTGTTTGAATCAGTCTCGACCACATTCACCTGATTTCTGGTCTGAAAGTTAGTAATTTCTCCTAAATCTGCCCAGCAGCGCTATCTCGAGTTTCAAGGTACACTTCACCATTATTTTAATAAAATTATTTGACTCTTAGATGCGGTACAAATCGAGGTGACCGGTCTTCTTGCATCCTGAAGTTCTGAGAGGATACCACTTTTTATACGATTAAATGATCAGACAACAACAAGATTGTCATCGTTGCTGAACTATCCACTAAGGAATTTTCACCTTACCACTCTTTGCTTTCAGACTCTTTGAAGCTCTCACTTACTTCTCAGACGCTCAGTGAGCATTCAAAATCGATTTACAAAAGCCTTTGAGTTCACAACATTCCTAAGCATTAAAGTTATAGTCCATCGGAGCTGCTTTGGTGGCCAAGAGCTTAAACGTTTCTAGAAGAACTAGAATCAGCTTGTTGAGTTAGCCAGTGTCGACACCATATGATGTGCCCCCATCTTCGTATCATCTGGCAAAGCGTTTGTAAAGTATTTGACCACGATTAGAACTCCGACTCTACCTTGTCGATGTGAGCTTTCGAAGTAATCTTTAGGCTGCTGTTTCTTTGAAAGAAAAGTGTCATAAGTAGAATGTAAGGTGAGATTACCAATTTACTACGTAAAATAATTACACGGTCAAGGTTATACTGAACGTGACGTTGACATCAATCCCAGCATTGCACTGCATCATTGAGCAAACTCCACAGAAAAGACTTCCTATCCAGCAAGAATCGATTGCTTCTATACTGGGAAATTGAGGTAGAGACTGCAGAATGTGTGATATGCAGCAGGTTGTATATGCTTCATACTGTTATGTTGTATTTATTTCCAGAACATTTACTTTCTAACAATCGAATTCTATGTGCTTTGCGGAAAGACTTACGGAGTCTTCTGATTCTGCTGTAGCCAGCACAAATTGTTGTTTGTGCGAACTGCCTCTGGTTGAAAGTCTTAGAATTTGTAAGAA